TACAGAATACTGGGCAATCAGCTGTTTTTTCTTAACAAACAAATAAATGCAAAAGAATAAGTTGTTTCAATTTCGCATTGCTCAATAAAGCCAAAGTATCTTGGAGAAAAACAGGTGATGACCGAACTCCAACAAACATCTAATCCTAGTAAATCTACTCGCTTTGCTCACTATGAAAGTTTGACCTTACAAATACTGTTGATGGTTTACCGATTTTTCCAAAAAATCAGTACCACTCGACGATATTGTTATTCGTTTAAGAAATTTTACTGAAAAAAAAAATGTTTGTTGGTTCGATTACTCAGATGTTTAAAGCGTCATGGCTCGACGTGATGAATAACATTGAACACACAAAGAAGGGCCTTCGTTTGATAATATATTAATATGATCTATATCTAAACGGACTGACTACTCGTTGTTTGAACACGTGCTCAGGTTGTGTCAGAAACTCACTCATATGAGGACTATTTAACCACTAACAGTGAGAGCTACAGTAACAATCTCAGCAAGGTCTAAATGATAGGGCACAGCCTCCTACTCAGAATGAGTCATACACCCGCTGAAACACTTGTATATTTAAGATTATACCTATTGTTGTTGCCATGACCACCGTTATCAACTAAACGAAGGGGTCGTTTTCGATTTGTTCTTCGATTTATTTCCTCTTTCTTGCCAAATAAGAAAAAGATATTTAGGGACAACGAAGACGATTCAACGTCCTACATACGCCCCATAGCTGCCACGTAGGAACGACTGTCGTCAACGGCAGCAGCTTTGGTCCTAGGAAGAAGAGGAAAGGAAATGAATAGATCGGGCATCGATCGTCAACTTGCACCCCATCGAAAGGAACCTACACGATACTAATTACAATAACAGCAGCAACAACAACAACAACAATATAGAATAGGATTCTATGAGTTGCTTCGACGTTTACTTCAGTGACTCACTCGCCAATTGTGCTCCTGTTATGCGGGCCGCCCTACGAGCTAATGGCAGCTGTGCTCGATAACCTTCTTTTGTCTACGTTTCTGCCCGAAAAGGCGTTACGGCCAAAGCCAGCTGGTAATTTCCATAAAACTTGCCTATGGCAAAAACATTTTAACGTACGCTGGTTTGTAGCACAAAGTGATAAGATTAATAGAGATATAAGTAAGAATGCCGCAGGTAACAGAGACAATATCTCTCTCTCGTACGCTTAAACATGTGTAAAGAATACGTTGTTCCGTGGTTAACGTAGCTAAGCGATTTTTAATCTGTGATACCAATTCGAGATTTCACCGAAACAATGGAATGACGAACTTGAACCGTAAACGATCAATATTCAAATGAATTTACTTGCACTTGAAATAGCCTATCGATGTGCAGCGTTTCGGGATGCTTAGAATTGTATTTTTATTTTTAAATAATTGAATTATCTAATTCGAATACCGCTCGTTGTGAACTAGACGATTACATATTTTAGGCTTTCGACTGATGTAGTAAGATAGATGATAGAGAAATTCTTTATGAAGGTGACTGCTTTACGCATCGCCACCAGATGATGTCTTCACCTTCATTTATCTCAAATGTCTCGCCCAGGTTGCACATTACTGTTGTACATTGACAGCCAGATTTCTAGATAGTATGGTATTTTTAGTCATAACCAAAACCCTAAACCTTGTATAATTGATTCGGCCCGCGTTGTGTAACCCGTAAGCTGAACTAATTTACATGAAAGTTTTCTTCATTTAGTATATCGTCATATCTCGTGACGCTAATAGTGCCCTGCATTGGCACGCTATACAGCTTTCATGTCTTCGGCCTAATGTGTTTAGCATCCTAGGGTCGTTAAGTGTCACGAGAGACACCGTAAGACACATATAAATCGCGCTGTATACGCACCGCATTAAATCTGTCCATTCAGGGATAGATCTTAGTATAAGTGATGGATGCTCTTCGCAGAGTACAAATCTTTGCTTTGATGCTGTCATTAAATGAGGCTTCTCACAGTAACACCGTCAGATCGTGTCACTCCGATGCTATATTCTTCTCGCTTTTCGGATGACTTCGGAAGCAAGCGTGATAGCGAGGAAAAGTGACACTATGCCTCAATGTAAAAGTTACATGTCTCAGATATCGAAACGCTACACACGAATAATGCTAAAAGCAGGAAACCTAGATCACGGTTTAAGTCAGTAACGGTGATGACACTCGACTAGACCGCTGAGTATTAGCGCACTGCATCGCCTCCCCAACAGGATCTGAGTATGATCGGAGGGTGACAAACATTAAATTTCTTTTGTAGCACCACTGCCCGTGAGTTCGACAGTCACGAGCGAGAACAAAGCACTTTTATCCAGTCCTCTTTTTTTTTGGTAGTTTATTGCCCCTTGCACTCCATCTTGTTCTGCACACCTCGCCCCTTTGATCCCCATGTGGCAGCATATCCTTTGACGCATGTACACCAGCGAGAGAAGATCTAGAATTAGACCTTACCATCGATGTGAGCATAACAACTGAAGGGTGTGTCCTTCGTTGCTATTTTTCATCCTCCATAGTCTACCTTTAGTCTGTCTAATGCTATCCCGGTGAAAATGATTCTATCTGTCAACGTAAATGAGCGAACATCTCATCTACCAAAACCCTATCATTTCGTGCCAATCTATAAAACTAAACATTAGATATAAGCATTCACTCAGTCATCGACAATACAATGTAGTGGTATTCAACACAAATAACTATTGCAAATATTGTAAGCGCCAATATCAATTCTGTGCCAAGGATTTGCTATTGTATGCCGTTTTGCTCTGGCTGGAACAAAATGAAGACGACCGCTAGCGGGGTTAGTCTGGCTAGTTAGGCAAGCAAAGGACAATTTTCGTGCTGGGGGTGCCTACCATCTAATCATGGATGCGAGGGGTAAATCTTGTCGAGACCGCATATACACCCACATACGTTTAAAAACGTTTGAGTTCGATTTGGGGCGTGGAAAAAAAACGTGGTTGCTATAGGGTGGGGGGGGGGAGAAGGGCTATGAACTCGCCATGCTATACGATCCCGAGTAGAAGTGGCTAGAGTGCAACATAGTTCCATTTAGAACCTCTACTCAGGATCGCTGTCGGACGGCCAACTACCCCTGCCAACGCGACAGCGCCCATTTGACCTCACTAGATGAGACTTATCGAATGGTCTGGGCGTAGCTTCACCATACGTCACTAAAGTGATCAAACTCATGCTTTTTTTTTGTTATTTGGCAAGCCCTCACGAGAAGCGCATGCAGAAGCAGTTTTCCCGTATTGCATGGTCTAGCAATTCACAAGGGTTCTCTCCATAGCATAAAAAATAATCGCGAGGAATCAAAGTATAAAAATGCTATGTCTCTGTAAAACTAAGTTGACGCGCGGTTGGTACATATGCCACTTCGAATTGTAATTTTTTTCGTTCTTTTTTATTTTATTTATTGTCTAAAAAGGGTCGTTTCCTGTCAATGGTCAAAAAATGAAACATTTTATGTGCTGAATATATATATACAGAAGAATTATTATACAGAAAGTCATTAGAATTGCGAAAGCAATAGTACGAAATTAGTGAAGTTTTTTTTTCTTTTTTTTATTTATAAACGGTTATTCTTTGTACGACTACAGCTTCAGGCCCGTACGTTTCGGAGTAATGAAATTTCTGAAAAAGTCAAATAGGTTCAAACGAAAGTCCTATGTACTAGGGCTTTTGCCGACTAGACAGCATAACATTCGTCCCAACATTTTCCCATACGGCCTAACTGATAAAGCTACTCTGATTTCGTAGAGTTGAGTGACAAAAATAAACTTTCGTCAGGAGCATATTTACAATGAAAACAACTGTCAAAAAAACAACCCATAGTTTCGTCGAGTATTTTCATCTGTAAACGAAAATTTTTGTCATCGTAATAAAAAAAGACGTGACTGACAGAAATCTGACATGCAGCAAATGCTCAGCGGTTACAAATGAAGTACACAGTCCCAGAAAAATTCGTCGAGTTCCACATCGCTTAGTCAATTCACGCGCGTTGTATCACACTACTTTGTGAATGGTGGCTCTCATATCCTAAAAAAATAGCCTTCTTGTACCACATTGTAAGAATTGTGGCGTAAGAGTTTCGAAGCGCAAATAGTAAGACGGCAAGGGACAAGCTTTGATAATTTCTAGGGGCAGCAGTGCAATATAAGGTATGTTGGTTTGTCTACCCGTTTGTTTCAAAAACTCATAACGATTATTACACTTGAACGCCAGATGTTTTTGCCAATTTGCACCGCATATTTTGATTGGACTTCAGCTTGAACTGCATCCGACGCGTACCCTCAAAAAGGTCGCCCGTAGAAAAACGTTAGTGAAGTTGGCAAAAGTTTCATTTTCTGGCAACATTTATCGCTCACATTACTAATTGATGTCCCACATTGAAGCTAACCAATGTAACAATTTCCATATAGGTCAGGAGGACTTAGTTGCCCCTAAAATTTGACGAGAAAAGAACCTTCAGATACTGAAATGCGTCATAAGACACCCCTAAGTGAAGCCGCAATAATTCACGTGGCAATCGAAATTCAGAAGGGATCAATACTAACCAGAATCTATTTGAAGTTCTTCAAAGCACGAAAGCTGGTAAAAGAGCCAGTGAGAGAAAGGTCGCAAGATCTCGTAGGCCCATAAATTTTACATTTAAAGTACTAAGAAACATATTTCAATAGGAATATTCATAATACTTAATGATAACGTGGTTCACGGCCTACTTTCTTAAGGAGAATAGGTTAACACTGCGCTCTTTTACGCTATGGTTGACACATGAAAAATGCAAAAAAATAACGAAGATTTATCGAGGCACAAAGATTGGGTTAATGGCGAAGTGCTTATTAAAAAAAGCGGTTTGTTTAGTCCTTTAGTACGAAACGATGCAGACAAGGATAAACTAGGATGTAAAGGCAGTAAATAACAAGATAGTTGAGATAAAGGATTTCTTGTACCTTTCCATTGTAAGAATCTCTTACCTGTGCCAGTTGTGATATGACCATATCCGTTTGGGGTTCCTGCTCAGGAGAGCCGTATAACATTGTCTTCATTAAATTGAGGTTCTTGCTGACGTCTTCTTGGGCTTTCTCTGCTTTTCGATCGCCTGCCTCAAGCGAGACGACAGACTCCCGCAACGCCCTCACTAATTCGGCGGGATTTTTCTGCGATTTTCCGAAAAGCGGCATCGTGTTGGCAAACGCTCGGTTTCTCGCGTTTCTTTACGAAGTATATCAGTCGCTTCACAACTGCTGACCATCCGCTAGAACTTCACTTGTACTTCAACTATTTTGTACCAAAGCTGTTTGACATGAACGTAGCAATTGCCTGGTCAACGAAAATAACAACCGTTGAAACTCATACAACCGTTAAAGACGTGCTTTGTTATTTTTGTATCTCCCTTAACGCGTTTGATACAGTAGAAACGAGTGTACTTTTCTACGCCAAAATCACTTTTTATCACTTTGAAAAACCATTCGAGCAAAAAGGTACAACACACACATAGTCGACTGCACTCACTAACACTCGGAGAAGTTCCACTTGCGTATATTATGACACAGGACTTGAGTGTAGCCTGAAATTTGACGGGGCTGAAAGCGTCTACCTACAAGACCGACAAACTGGACGAACGAATGACGCCCGTTGCATTGATTGGTGGCATGCGAAAAATCGTTTTCTCTGTTGTTAGATTAAGTCAGACTGAGATTCGGGCACCTACAAGGACTACGAATGAATGGAGCCAAAGATTGACGTAAGTAATGATAATGAGGAACAGTTGTGTCCTAGGTCTGCGTGGCACCACGCACACTCGATCTTATTTGATTCTACTCTAATAGAGAAAATGTAATCCAGTCCACGGTAGTATATGTTGCTTCAATGTCTTCTTCGCTGTCTAATTGTCATTAGACGTACGCTTAAATGATGAACAGTGGAAAGCACATTTCCTTCACATATGAATAGGGCAGAAACCATCACCCATAAATGTTCAGTACTGGAATAAGACTTCAAATGAGGTGCTGCTCTCCAGCTGACTATGGATGCTCCAGTTTTCTAAACTGTTTTCTTATAGGTTTCTACACGGTCTTCGTTGAACGCCGCTGAGCATCATCAGACGCTTTTTTCCACTCACCGACAGATACGTCAGTCACTGTTGAATCTGTGGATTCAACGACAACAAATGCAAACGATAGCCGGCACCCGCTTCTGGATTATGTCCTTAGGAGTGAGCAATACCAGCAGAAGTTGCCAAGCTCAAGATTCTAGTTCACAAGTAATAATCGAGATAGTAGTTGTTGAACCAGAAGTTATTATTAACGCTTATGTCCGCTGTTATTGCTTGGTGTTGCGGTTCCAGGCTAGTTGACGAATAGCTCAATCGTTTCTTGTTCCTAGTACTAGCGTAAGGGGCACAGAAAAGCAACAATCAACGAGGGGCAACGATGAACGTTCGACATTCGAAATTTCAGCAGTAGCAGGGAGTATGCTGGGTATTACAAACAGCCATACTCCTCCAGCTACATCATATCGGCGTCCTACTACCGTGTTCAGCTGGTGATAGCAGCGACTGGGCTAGCTGCTGCTGCTGCTGCTGGTCGTCGTCGTGTTCGTGATGCTGCCTACTGCACCGACGACTGGTGCAGCAGTTTCTGTGGCGGTATGCACTCGCATAGACACACAAACAGAGCCCCGTTCGTTCGCACTGATCGCCCGCCCGGGCGGCCGGCCAGCCAGGCAGACGGATGGACGGACGGACAGAAAGACAAGTCAGTCCGAGCGGCACGGGGCCGTTGGGCGGCTACTGGTAGCAACAACAACAACACTACGAAGATGAAAGCAGTAGCGGCAGTGACAGCGGAAAAGGCAGCGATTTTACTGCACACAACAGCAGGAGGCGAGGCGATGGGATGAGTCGCCGCTGATAACGACGACTCCGCTGCTGCTGTTTAGTGAGTGAAAGAGGTGGTCGACTCTGTGTTGCCGTTTCTGTCGTAGCTGCAACGCTCAGCTCTGGCTGTTGTTTTTGCGTACTAATAGAATAGCGGTAGCGTTGACTGGCTGGCTGGCTAGCGTCAGCCGGCTCTCACCGTAGCTGATGGAGTGTCGGGGAACAACGCTAGCAGGCACAACTGGCGACGACCACGGCGGCGGCAGATGCCGCGGAACTCCTCCGACCGTCTGCCGGTGACGAACCACTTGTCTATCTGACTGTCTGTAGATCGGTCGCGGTTCCTTCTGCCTACCGGCTTGTCTCCACTCACCACTCGTCCGTTAACCGCCTGTCCGTTCGCCGTAGTGTAGTTGTAGAATTTCAGTAGCAGCTACAACAGCCGCCGTAGCATTTATAGTTCTTTTTTCGATGGGTCTGTTTGAATATTTTCGACCCGCGCGTCTCTCCCCCTCGCCCGATGTCGGTATGTTTCTGTTATTGCTCGTGACCACTGGAGGAAACTTACAGGTGTATCCTATTTATAGCTATACCCGAAACACACGAAGGCAGTATCTACAATAACAGGGACAAGTACCGCGTTGTTGCTAATGGTAGAGTTTATTATTGGCTGATAATTGTCTATGACTGGCGGGCTAGTAGAATTATTGTTGACTGAAGTAGTTTCTGCCCTGCCGTTTCAGGTTTTGTCGTTCTTATCGCTTTTGTTGTTAATGAACCAGTTGTAGAATAGCAACAACTGCATTATCGGCACAGTGGCTCCTGATGTTGTTGTTATCGTTGTTGATGCTAGCCCTGGTCGTGCGCTAATAGAGGAGACGTCAAGACAGCCCCAAAGTTTCACAAATCGAGTTGATCGTCTCCTGTTGCCTGCCTATCTATCCCACAAACGTTTTGTGTAAACTCCTTTAGTTTTCGCTATTCTTCGTTTTCTCTTTCCCGCTGGCCGTCGTACCTGTGTGATTCTAATTAAAGGAGCAGTGGACACAGCACCACGTTCTCCTTACTGACGGCAGGAGACGGACGTCAGGTTGTAACGTTTGCGTTTAGTTTACGTCTGCAGTATCTACTTGTTGTATGGTTTCGTGCCGTGCTGTGTATTTTTTCCTTGATCGGTGCTCGTGAGGAAGGAAAAGACACCGATAACGGGGCGCAATGGCCAACAGTTATGACAATAGTGGTTCGTTCAGGAAACTAATATCGACACCATTCTATTGCGCGTTCCATGGCCGATGGTGGAGCGTTAGAACACCAGTTAATAAACAGCTTTCGAACAGTTCTAGTTGTTCTACCGGTACGATAGAGAAATGTCGCTGGCGCCCGTCACCTATACACACACAGACACACTACGTAGGTGACCGGCTTGTTGTGTGCTCTGTGAATCTGTCCTTCCGTTCGGCCGTACTCAAACGACGCAACGCACGTAGCTCTATGACCACGAGTGCTACTGGAACGCGGCGGTCAACGATTGCCTGCCGCAGAGAGTAGCGTTGGCGGTCACAGTAGAACGACGACGTTCCCGTGCCAATAACAGCAGCAGCAACGGCAGCGGCGGCAATGAGTACAAAAACACATGAGCATGGATGCACCAGCGGCGACAGGCACCACCACAAGTTAGCTAAGTGAACCAAACAGATTGTCCGTCCGTCCGTCCCTCAGGCAGACGCAGGCACGGTCAGCGTCACGTTCCGCTCCGACCGTAAAGTACTCAATATCGGCGCCACCGATGTAAGCCACCCAGCAAACCGACGGCTGGTAGAGAGGAGCGTCGTCGAGCGTCGAACGCGCCGCCACTGACAAACAAAGAGAAGAAGGTGCGATCGTGAACAGGAATAAAAGAGATCGACAAACAGCCACACAGAAATATCCTTCACTAACGAGGTGAACAACAACAGTTCTGTGCAGTAGTCACCTGGCTCAAAGCACAAAAACGCACACAGATACAAATAGAAACGGGCGCGCGCTCACACACACAGCGGTTTGTCGTCACTTGCGTTAGCGAATAACTGCTGGGTTACATACACCCTCAGTCACCGCGTTGTTCGCGCTCGCAGCAGCTATAACGAGACAGTCACAGACAGCAACTAATATCGCGTACACAGGATAATAGGACATACGGTACTACGGATTCGGCCAGACTACCGCTGTTTGTTCCATCTATTGTCGGTCAATACGCGTAGGTTGTTCGCGCACAGTTGGCATGAGTTTTGCACCACCGCCACCACCACCACCACCACCACCACCGCCGCCGCCGCCGTCGCCGCCGCTGTGATACGTGCGTGCTGTCAACCACCGAGCTAACTATATATACTTTAACGTTCCCGGTGTCACAGCGCAATACAGTACAATTTATTGCGGTAGTAATTCGTTCTATTCGGCTGCTGCGTGGGCGGAGCACAAACAACAATAACAACGACGACGACGACGACACCGCTAAAAATCGTACTAAGTCTAAACAGAAACTAAGGCGTCTGTGTGAAAAGCACGGGTATTGGTATTAAAGTAACAAGAGCTCTATATACTCGGTCCCCTCGTCGGTGAGGTGAGTTTGGCTTGACCTCAGTGATACAGCGACTTAACTTGTCCTGCCACCGTTGCTACCATCATTTCATAATTCAATGTTCGAATATGAGCAGGGTCAATACGCACAAATGATTGTTTGTTTTTGCTAGAAGAGCAAGCGATCCAGGAGATCAACCAGCCCAAACGTACACACAGATAAACAGCGTTCACTCGCTATCAGCCAAACAACACTCAGAGAGGCAGTTTGCCGTTGAGCTCGACTTATCTTTTCGTCTACCTTCCGTCGTCGTAGTCTGTTTGTTCCGCCGTCAACCATTGACAAACAGTCCCGGATTGAGGATCGCTAACGATTAAATAACATTGACTGTGGTCTCACTTTACGATCGGCGATTGTTACTACTAACTCGTTGCTGTTTCTGTATTGACTGTGCTTATTATGGGCCAGCACCGCTGACGCGTCCCGCGCTGTTTCGTCCGTCCAGGCAACGAGCAGAAAGTAACCGTAATAATTAAAACACGTCGCTAGCGATTCAATATCGTCTACGTAGAGTGATCGTTCCTTTCTCAGTAGACGAAAGAAGCTGTCTGTCTGTCTGTACGTACTCGTCGAACGACTTGAACGCCGATGATCCGGGGGTGGCTTGAGAGCGGTGGCGACCGAATATCACATGCGTTCGTTGTTGTTGCCGCCGCCGGTGCTGCCGTCGAACGAATTCAATGCGAATGCCCAAGGGTTACAGCGGCAAATGACGATCTGCAGCCGCGTCCGGGTCGGTATGCTGATGTTCTATTTGATAATAAGGATTGGTGGTTAGTTGCTGTTCGAGGATATTTTGTTTTCTTTTTCAAGAGAGAAAGAGAAAGAGAGAGAGAGGGAGAGATTTTTCGGTGGTCGGCTGCCTTCGTGTCCGAATCCCACTAGCAGAGCAGGCGCTAGCAGCGGTACAAGTATATCTGCGGTCGTCCGCCACTCAACTACTACGATTCATGCTGTTGCAGCTGTGGACGTTCTCGTCTGTTAAAGGTAGTGGCGGGCATAATGTGTCCCGTCTTTATTCTTGAATCACAATCCACATCTCGTCAAAACATCATTTAGCGCTTGAGTTGGTTGGCTAACGAAGCGGCACTGAATGTCATCTGCTACGACGTCTGCTACCACGGCACCGAACTGTGTAACGGATTGGACCATGACTGATTCAATAAACTAACATGTTGAACTGTGGATCATTTCATTAACAGGTCAACTAGAGAACATATATATTAAAAAAGAAAACAGCTGGTCAATATTTCACGCTCATATTTGCTCGGAACGGGTTTCTGGATTCGGCCAAGTCGTCTGCTAGAACTGTCCCTCTGAAGGTTGATCGATACCGCGTTCCATCGAACAGCAGGCAACGCACGCTGCAGCTCTATATACTAACACAATCGCTCTACACTATATCTTATGGTTGTATATTTGACCCTTAATAGACGGCTGGGGATATTGTCTGAATTGTATGATTGCATTTACTTTACTATATCCGCTATGTAGTGAAACCTGTCTATGCGCGAACAGCGAAAAGGGAGAGCTTCTGAGTGAATTTTTGGCGCATTCTATTGGGGGTTCACTAGAACAAACGCGCCTCTTTTGCCTAGACTACAAGAAGGTAACAAAAGATTGGCCGTTAGGGTTGTCTGCCGCCGGCATCGGCGAAAGAAACAACTGCGCGAGATTCAAAAAAGCCTAACAGAGTTCAGTGAACTAGAAACATGTGCACAGAAAGCCAATAATAAAATGTTATAGCGTGTGTTGCAAAAGTGAGACGTGATCGTACGCATAGCGTGGTGAACTCTTCGTGGTGTGGATTCGATATTGACAGATCTCGAAAGACCCGACATCTCCGACGTCTCCTTGCCAACGGAGATATACGCTCATTGAAGCTCGTCATGGCAATTCTAGATTGGCCACAGGTCCGCCGCCTTCTGCATCCGCACTATGTAATGACCGTCTTTCTAGCTACAGTGTTTTTTCCTTTGCGGTTAGTTTCGCCAGTGTGTGAGCTGTTGTTTCCCGAAAAGGGTTGTGGGTTGGATTATCGCGAAACAGAAATTTTGTTCTTTCTCATAATCATCATTCTGTTTCGTACTAAAAAAATGGGTTATACCTCACTAGTACCCTATATAAGTTCAGCCTCAATGTACGCTAAAGTAGCTATGGTTTTGCTTTTCTTCTACAACGACCTGCGATACGGCATTATCTATACGGTAATGTGTATAACGCATCTAATGGTGCTGCCGGAACCTACCTATACGGGACTGGATCGCACCGTCTACTTCACCTCGCAAACACTGGAGGAAGAACTTAAGAAAGACAAGAGAATTGTATGGATTGTCGAGTTCTTCGCTCTCTGGTCACCACCATGCATCAACTTCGCCTCAGACTTCCGCCATCTATCCGGCAAGTATACGTTGGAGAATCTTCGATTCGGCAAGATCGACGTCACCCGAAACCCAGAAGCAGCTGCAAAATACCATATCAACACTTCGACCCTATCTAAGCAGCTGCCAACGCTTGTAATATTTAAAGATGGCAAGGCAGTTATGCGTCGGCCAACTGTTGATTCAAAGTCAAAACTTGTCAAGTTTAACTTCACGATGGAGAACGTCATTAACGAATTCGACTTAAACAACCTGTATAATGTACTGAAAAACGAAAAGATCAACAAGCGGGAATCGCAGGCGCCACAAAAGTCAATCGGAGAAAAGAAAGTCGAGTAGATCGTCGTGGTAGAAGTCACTAAGGCAAATTTAGCTTACTTAAATAATGATAGTAGCTAAGTATCATATCACGCTAGTAAAAAAAAAAAGTAGTTCCCAGTAAAAAGAATAGCCTGGCGAAAGGAGTGCAGACAATGAATTACGACATTTACTAAATAACAGTGATAGCTTACGTCTCGGTTACAAAGCCCGGATAAACCTACCATTTACCATAAACCTCTGATGTTATGCTTCTGTTCTTGTAACTAGTCTCCTTTCTTTGAATGTCTAGAGATCGTCCTGTTTGGTCCAATCGCATGACTGATCAACAACTGGACAAGCGTATTACCAAAGCTTCTCTCGTAACTATAACGAAATGATGGGGAAGAAAAGCTAGTGTTATGTTATTACAACGGAATATGTGTATTGTTGCCCTATTTTTAAGCGTGACCTACTACCCATTCGATGGCTACATTCAAATGGGACATGCCACAATAGCAACACTATAAAGGACAGCATTTGTCAAATGCCAAATGCAACAGCAGCACTGTTATAGGTATGAAAGCTAGCAACGATAACGTTTTAGGAAATCTCAGATTTTCTAAGATATTTTGGACCAATATATTTTGATTCGGGAATAAACGTCTGTTGGATGGCTGCAGATTGCTATTGGGAGGTCTCTTTTTCGCGAGACGATAAATTTTCTATATCCATTGGCCATATATTTAATAGGTAAGTCTGTAAATAATGGAACGATAGTGTACGCAAGTGGACATTGTGAGAATGATGTTTGACTCAAAGCATTGTCACTGCTGTTTCGTCTGGTACAGCAGAAATGGTGGATTTTTATCAGAGAGAAAAAATAAAAGATAAAAATTTAAATGTAAAATACTTATATCGAGCCTACCTATGTTTTCAACCAAAATCTAATTGATAGTTGGAAAAGTTGAAATTCTTCTAGGTAACTCTTAATTTTTATCCACTATAGGAATGCTCAATCTCATTTAGCCTTTATATGTCGATGCGAATCTAATGCCAAGAATTCTTCGATGCGCCTGAAGAATTTAAAAAAATATATGCAGCTGCCGAGATTTAATTTTCAGTTTTTCTTTGTAGTCCTAGAATCCAGCCTAAGCCTGATTTTCCAAACCTTTAAACAAATGGAAAAAGTTATAATCTTAAATAATCGAATATTTCCACAGTCCAAATACAAGCATGGCCTGGTGTTACAGCAGCGCGGAACGATGTATGAGGAGGCTAAATCGAGAATAATCGATTATGTCGTTCTCTTATGTTCAATGATAAGGGATAACAGCAACGTCGTAAGGTACATCTGTGCCAACCAAGTGCTTCTCTTTCGCAGATAACCTCGACGGCTCTGAATTTTCTAATCATATGTTATTGATTTTGAAGTACGTGAAACCTCTCTGCTCTTTCGACGCAAACGCTCATGCGTTCGCTTGCTTGTCATAGTTACAGAAGTGTTAGATTACTAAAGGCTCGCCCTAAGACTCTAACTGCTACTCGATATTATCAGTTGGGGTATACTGGTATAGAGTTTTTACTCTTATCAAGATTACCTGGGTCTTCGTTTCATCCAGATGAACCATAAAGCCGTTCTTAAGATGACCAAAAATGTAGCATTCTAGCACAGTTGGTAGAGTGGAGTGACTCGTTACGTGAATCCGTCACAGACGATTCAAGACCGTTTGCGACACTTTTTGCAACGAAACATTATTCACCTTTTGCAGTTTGTATATGGATTCGTTATGTGTTGTTACGATGCCCTCCAGCATAAACATAACGCACAACATACAGTGATAGCTTCATGCGTATCTTCCAGCCGAAAAAGGCACAGTGACTATTTTTGCTACATAGGTAGCACAAGTACTTGGATTTCGGTCACTATGTATGCATCTTAAAAGATTTTGCTAAATCAATAGGGCGAAGTGTCGATTCGTATTTGCTACGTTTGAAAGTAACTTTTAGGGTGATAAAAATTTTAAAACTTGTAAAATTGAACTAGAACTTCTAAAGGCTCCATATTATAGCAGAAGGCAATATAGATGAATAAATAGTATAGCAGCACTGTCGTGGAATACAGCGTTGGCTCAAGTAAAAAATATAATAAATTAATTGTACATTTCCGTTTAATACTCTAATTGTATAGCTAATAACGCTAATAAAACTTATCTATTTTGGCCTCGAACTGCATTTTACATTTTTCATAGTCAGCGCCTTTCTCGTGCTAGATTGCATAGTTTTCGTGGTTCGGAGGGAGTGGGGCCACTGCCAAGCTGACATTTACATCATAAGTTTTGTCCATATGCCCAGTGTAGACAACAGATGAAATTAACTTCGTTTCCATTTACCGATACAAGCTCTAACCGTATCATTAAAGTAAAAAAAATTAGCCACGCGGTTAACGGTTAGTATTTCTAGTGACTACCATAAGCATAGCGGCAGTCAGTAAGACTATTTATGAAGGAAAACCTTCCGAGATTATAAATATGTTAAACCACAGTTTTTCAGATGGTCCTACAGATATAAAAAATTATTACGTGTTAAACTTACCGTTTGGTTTAAGAGATAAGGTAAACTTGCATCTTTTTGTTGTTTATTAAGATGTTATTTGTTCATTTGAGATATAGTTTTGAGTAATGCAATAATATTCGTTTTATTATTTGCACATGGCTGTAACAAACACACGATTTCTTTGCGGTCTATATATTAAGTCAATATACATCTATACATTCTTGTCATATAGATAGCCTTGTAACAAGAGGATCAACATTAATATCAATATATGTACAATCGTATGTATGTATAAGGTTTCGCATTGGTTAGATATAAAAATAACTGCACAGTAGAAATAACTATCATTGGTTTACAGCAACATAATATATACTGACCAAAAAGCACCTCAACACATATAGCTACTGCCCGCAACTTTGTACATCTACCACTGTGATTGGCGTTATCGAAAGATTATTAAACCAAGGTAACAAAGCCGCCTACAAGCAGTAGGCCTTCAATTTTATTGAGGTCACGACTTGAATTAGTCTCTTTTGAATTCATAAAAGCTTATACAAAAAAAAAGAGCGTAGCCCGTCGTAGACACAGTGGTAACAATTGTTGATTAATCTTGATTTTAATAGAAGAAAGTGGTGACAAAATTAACTCATATTTCGGTGAATTTTTACGATGAATCTGTTTTACGCTCCTCGTCGTCCTCAGCGTGCTTTGGCCTTTGACTTTTTTATATATCCTGTAAACTCATGTGGACCGTCGTTTCTCATGTCAACGTTGGTCAGACCTGCGAATTCGCCATTTTGGCCTGAAGGAGCACTTGATGAGGCGTTTACTGTAAATGGCTTAACTGCGCTCGACTGAACTGGGAACACGTTTGGGTACAAAGATGCGGACGATGGTGTCGATGAAATGCGTGAGAAAATTCTTCCTATACTCTTTTGGGTGTCGCTTAAGTCTTTGATGTTTGAGTCGGAAAGGCTCAAATCCGTTGACCTAAACGTGTTGTGGCTGTTCGCTTGCGGAGCTCGATAGCCGAAATTTAGCCTAAACGAAGACCCGGTTTGTTGGCCTGGGTTAAACGGTTCACTGTAACAACAAAAAGAAGAAATCGAAGATCGTAGATGTCAATGATCGCAAGACAAGATACTCGAACGGACTCAAGAGTTCGGTGCAGCGCTTAGATGTACTTACGCCATATATATATACATGTATAGATAAATAAAACAGAGTCCCGCAGTCGCAAGTGCTCGTCTATTATCTTAGAGTGCCTTTTTGGGAGGTCTACAAGATTCCTTAGTTTCCTTGCTCACAGGTAAATCGCATATTGGTAATCGGTGCTTAATTTCATTCGATAATACGCTAATTTAGCCGATAGCAATCAACTGAAACTTTAAATAGACAATTTATTAGTATTAAGCTACACAAAAATGTCATGTATGTCTAGTACGAGCTGCAGGTGCGGGCGTTCAACGTTTTGAATTAAATAAACATCGACCTCACCTGTATACATCTGAGAGGATTCCATTGACATCTGGTCGAAAGTTTGACAAAGCTGTAGCACCCTTTTTAGTTGTGCCTTCAAGATGCGTAACGTGAAACCCTTCGAAGTTTGAAGGTGAGGGTAAACTGCCGAACGAATTTGAAGCACCAAAGAAACTCTTCGAAGAGGGCCTTATATTAACAGATTGGCCTATACCTAAAATTGGCCGTATGGTTCTAAAGTCGTTATGGCCCGTTCTGAAATTGTTTTGGACTACACTTGAGTGAATATTCGTGTGTCGATTTTGATTTCCAACAAGTCCTGAGGGATCTCTTTGTAAGCGACTATTTCTGAACACGTATGTGAATACTGGCAAAGGATATGGTGAGTTTGATGAACTGATTTGACCCCCCGATAGGCTCGGTAGATTGTTCGAGAAAACTGTGGGTTGAATAAGCGTCTGCTGCGCGGGTCTGAATACTTGCAAAGGAAAGTGTGTGCGAAATTGGGGAATGGTTTGTTGATTACCAACGCTCGGCGCATGTTCCTGCAGCTGATATTGAACTGGTACATGGATGATCCGTGCCTGGTGCTGCAGTTGAAAAGGCGGCTGACTAAATGAACTTTCCTGCTGGATGTCAATTTGTTGTTGTGGAAGCTGAACATGCTGGATTTGCTGCCGTTGTATTTCCGATCCTTGTTTTTGAACGGGTGCCTCCTCTTGCCGTATTTTCCCTAAAGTATCTGCCTGATTGACCGAAAAAGTCGCTTGTTCATTGTTGATTAAATGAATTTGTTGGCCGTTCGGTGGAAGTACAGACTGTACAGTTGGTATAAGAGAGGGTTGTTCTTGTCTAACTACAGTCTGGCCTTGTTGTACTGGGGCCGGAATTTGTTGACCGATTTGCTTAGTTATTTGGCCACTAACGATAGAGCTCGTATAGAGGGCAGTCAGTGGAGCTTGTTGTGGAACCGGTTGAACCTGCACGGTAGCCGTAGGATCAGTGAGTCGCTCTACAGAAACGGGCAGGCGTTGTTTTTGTTGGTGGCCAATAACAATTTGATTCTGCGAAGTTCCGGGTGTAGCTAATTGTTCATCTACGTACTGCAGTTCTGGAGCCTGCGAAGCCTTTGTCACATCTTGCTGTTGGTTAACAACGACCTGTTGGGAGGGCTGTAAGACGGGTCTCTCGTCTAAAAGGGCAATTGAAGGCAGTTGTTGAGATTTTGGCACCAATGGCTGTGACACAACATTCTGTGGTGGAAGCACGTACCCTGGCAGTTGGCGTGGGACTTGTGCCTGACTCGAAGGCTGCACGCCAGACAGATTTGGCGATGGAATGATTTTTATAGCTTCTGGACTTTGCACAAACAACCTAGAAGTTTGTGGCGACAAACGAGATGTGCTTATATGACCGGCATATGTTAGGAGAGGCAGTTGTGCGTATAGAGCTTGACTGCTTGTCTGTATTTCATTTGTAGCCGGGACTGATGGTACTAATGGGGCTTGAACCGATGCTGAAGATGTGTCTGGTGGTTGTATGTTTTGCACGACTAGAGGTCTAAGCGACACTAAAAAAGGATGAGGATTTTCTGCAGTGCTCGACTGCGGCGCGGAACGTGGAATGGATCGAATAAAACCGAAGGAACCTGGATGAACACTATTATAATGAACCTGAGCCCCGGCATGGTTTATCCGGAAAGTTGAGGATCCTCCAGAAAACTTTGTGGTTTGGGGCCTCTTTTGTTGCTGGTCGATTCTGAATGCCGTTTCTGGAGGTAATGCTTCTTTCGAACGACCAAGGATAACCTCATCGGAAACCGGTGGTTGTGACAGCGCTAATGATGAAGTTTGAGTTGGCGTCTGGGTGCTGACAGGAGCAGTGAATTGAGGGCGTTGTTGGCTTAACTTTTCAGGTTGTTGGGAGAATGGCGGAAGAAGAGCTTCTGGAGTTATTCCTGAATATACTGTAACATGTGAAGGAGGAGCTGGTGCTGTTGTATGTTCTTGACTTTGTAGATAGTTTACATTAGCTGGACGATGATTAAGGCTGACGGTGAGCGCCTGTGGTTGTTGAGCCGGGAAGACAGGAGTGGTTGAGTCACCTGCAAAAGGTAACGACGTATTCTTAGCAAAGGCGTGCGCGGTTCGCGCGTCCACATTTCTTTCTCCAGCAGACATCTGCTCTACTTGTGAGGATCCGTCTTTAGTGTTGCCGCTCGCCGGGTTTAGGTGACCTATTTGAACACCGAAATTTCTCAGAACATTTTGTAGGAAATCATCTTCATATTTTTTACGCGCTGCAAGATTTTTCGCTAAAGCACCATCTTCATCTGGAGCTTCTTCAAATGTGGCTGTCTCTAGATCGTGTACATAAACCTAACAACAGAGAAGAGGAATTATCGAGCTTGTTAGTTGACATAGGCCACATACAATAGGGAGCGTTTCTTTCCCATTATATGATAGCTTAGGGCTATGGCTATTTGTAGGTTGAGTCGGTCTAACTAAATTCTGGTTCAAACATTACTCAATAAATAAGCTATTATCGCATGACTAAATCATTTATCCGAGCTAAAGTTGGTTATACTAATTGTTTCGCACTTACTTTTCCCGGAGTAAGCTCTATAGTCTTTGCTTTTGGTTTTCGACCTACATTGTCCTTGTTTTTTTCTCGAAGTTTGGTTAAATCAATAATAAACGTCTCTTTTGCGGGGTTATTCACGTCAACAGTATGCGATGCCGTCGTCGTTTGAGTACCACGGGCAGGTTCTCCAGTAAGGAATTCGACGCCTAAACGGGCCGATTTTGTGGAATTGACAACGACTTTTGATCTCAATGCTTGCTTAGTGTTTTGTCCCTTATTGGAAGGCAGTTCCACATATGAAGATAGCAAAAGTGAGTTGACGCCTGATGGCGTGCTATTCTTGTCTATCTTGGTTATTGGGTTACCCGTGTTGCCAGGTTTCGTAAGAGCGGAGAGTTCACCTTCTGGGATGCTGAAATCGATTGCAGGCAACGTTTCGGACGAAGGAAGTTTGTGTTTAGTTTTTGTATCTAATGTTTGTGCTACTGTACTACGGAGTAACAATACGATTACTTTAACCTTTCTTTTTCAAACAAAATATAAGATATACAGGGTCGTAATGTCTTTGAAAAAGGCACTCTTATACAAATTGGTTGGAACGTACTTTAAATAACTTTTGGTATACTGGACCCTAGATGGTCAAATGCTGTTAGAAAATGGTACCTACATAGCCCTAACGCTATTTCATATGTGCAGCCTAAGAAAGAAGATATACCTGTACATAATGTTTTGATCTGCTGAACTTGAAATGACCTGACGAGAAGGGATAATAGGCAGCATCGGAATCGTGAACTTAGTGGGCGACATAAGAGTGATTGCTAGATTTCCATTATGCGTCTCGCCGCTAACAACCTTGCCCGACTCTGTGTGGCTGCAGTTCGCTTTCGAACATGCCTCTTGATTTTGTTGATCATTCGTCGCATTGGCAGTCTTGTTTGTGGGAACGACCTTAACTTGAACGCCAAAATCGCGAAGAACGTTATGCAGAAAATCGTCATGGCCCTTCTTGGGTCCCGAGCTGTCTGCGATCGCATCAGTAGCTTCGGAAGAATCGTTAGCTCTGGTTTCCGCTAATGTTTTAGGTAGCGAAGAATTCCCTGAATTTGTTCGTTTCTTGGGCATTCGCTTAAATTCAAACATTGATGTCAATGCAGAAGAAACCGGCTTAGGCCTGAAAACTTTGCGCTTCCGTCGAGTACGATCTTTTTTACAGAGTACTCTGTCATCTGACGACTCCGCGCTAGATTCAGTTGAATCTTCTTCAGAAGTATTGGATGCTTTTAGTGAATTGAATGGCTTATACGCTATTATAGTCTCATTTCCATTTGGTATTAACGCTTCAGGCATTCGTATTAGTGTGCCACTCATAATTGCTAGAGGTCGTGAGTCCCTCCATTGTGCAGCTCTGGGTAACTTAACATTCTTATTTGTCTCGAAAAGATTTGTTACTTTCATTCCATTGTTACTGCTCCGAATGTCCCTGGCTGAAGTTCTTGTGAGGATGTGGTTTGTAAGAACTCGTGGACCGCGGCGGGTTCTCACGACACCGAATTCAATAAACCGTTGGCCGCCAAAATGCGTAAGAGGTATTATGGCGCCTCCGGCCTTAGCATGTTCCCCGTTTTTGTTGATGCGGGACAATATGGCTAAGCTGCCATTACCTTCATCCTGAAGCTCTGTCCATCGCCGTTTATAAGTCGTGATTGTCGATGCTGGCTGATTGCTATCCATCGAATATTTTGACGATGATAGTGTACTGTTTCCTGTTAAGGGCTTCGCTTCGCTAGCTTCTTCAGGTAGAACGAAGATAGGTGTGAGGCTCCGGGCGGGTTCGGTGTTGTCAAAATGGACACTTCGATTCACGTTCATCATCCAGATGCTTTTCCGACTTGTCAACAGACCTTTGTTAGTTGCAGTGGCCTTAGTTTTGCGGCGCCAATTCGGACCGTAATGACTATGCATATTCCTTAGCTTGCGATCATCATCACTGCGATCGTCCGTCCTTGCGGTTGTCGCTAGTAGGAAATTGCGTGGAACATTTTTTTTCGTCAGTCTGATCTTGGCGAAGCTATCAAACGAGCTGTCGCTCATATTTTTAGTAGCGCTTTCAGATAGGGCGGTAGTGAAGTTCTTGCTCGGTTTTGAGCCCGACTTTTTATCCATGTACACAATCACATGCGAAGATTTAGATTCTAGATTAGCACGACTGCCGGACGCAGTATTTGTATTCGATCCTTGGATTACGGAGTCTGGCTGGAATTGTGAGATTGATAAATCGAGAAAAATAAGCAGTGTGCGTATAATGGTTTAGCTATCACATTCTTTGGACATAGAGCAAAAGTATTAGAGATCACGTGCTGAGCTGGTAGATTTTAATAGCAAGCTATCGTCGATGAGGAAAGAAAAAATTATTTTAGAACAAAACAAAATCTCTTTGGTGAACCACAGTACATTATACAGAATTATGAATTAACAGATTACTACTAACTGCTTAATTACCTGCAATTGAGAAGGTTTACTTGGCACAGAATCCATGTGATCTTTTGTCACGACTTCAATGTCCTGTGCAGCGCTTTCAACGCTGGGCGGCACTGACACGCTATCTACTGTGTAAGCTGTCTTGGGGTCGGGCTTAAGGAAAGATTCGGTGGCTACCTTCGCACGCTCCTGCTGCGTTGGCTTCGTTTGTGCGAAGTCGATTTGGTACTCAAGATTTTTACCAATATTGTGGCCATTTGCCGTCGTTTGAGATCTTTGCGTATTTACAGACGAAGTTAGGTTGGGCAGGGCATTATCCGCAATAATATGTCCTGGCAATAAAGCTACTGAAATGTATAAAAGGAACACTGTTTTAGATATAGAGTAGAGTAATAGAACAGATAGATATAGAATAAACTTTTTAATCGCTAGCGAACATTTTATTAATAAATCAGGAAAGATTAGAAATTTTTTCCACTGAAAGCTATAGTTGCTTAGAAGCCCTTTTAAACTTAGGTGAAAAATGATCGAATTCCATGAGTCAATGTAAGAGATGTACTGCAAGACTACCGTTCAGCCAGAAAGAGAAAACGTAAAATTATATTCAATATATAGGGGGACTCAGCATTTTTAAATATATTTTAATCTATTTTGCAGTTGTTGTATTGATATCACGTATTACATCGGTAATCATAAATTTATATGAAAAATGAGAAAAAGGGTGAAGGGAAGCCTCGCTTTGGTTAATTCCATTGTTTTAGATGTGGCTTTTTTGCGGAGCGAAAGGCTAGGTAACTTAGGTGTGAACGTATTACTGAAATAATAATTGCCTTCCTTGTTCAAGCATCCAAGACAAACTGCTAAGCTTCTCATCTCGTAACCTTCAGCTAAAGTCAGTTCGAATATATAGATAGACCGCTTGCTCTCACTGGATTCATTGATCTAAAAAAGACTGTCAATATTAAACTTTCAGGAACTATGTTAATTGTTTAGAGGAAAAGTAATACCGTGAGGGCCCCACATGCCGTAACCATGTTTTCTAAGTCCTGCTCACTCTATTCTATGAAGTTATATTAACCACTAACCTGAACTTAAATGACAATTTAATAGTTCCTATAGTAAGGATTTTTAATCCATTCCCATACCAACAGTCCCCATCGAAAAGTTTGACCGGAGTAAAACTGCGAAAAAAAGTTCAATAGATCTTTCCGGCCTTTTTATGCAAGCATTTCTGTAGGATTCGTTTCCTGAATCTATATATATATATATATCACTTTGTACAACAGAAGACAGCAACGCTGGGTGTTTCACTGAACCAGAATTTAAGTAAGGCGTTTGCATGAATTATCTATTTTAACCATCGACTAATCACTAACGGATCACTAATTGAGGTTCTTCGATGCGCGGCGGAGAATTATCCATGTCAAACGAAAAAATACATTTTCTTCTGCTTTTTTTTAGGTGGTACCGATGGCGACTTGAGGATGATTGTCCTTGACTTTGTATTCATAAGCACTTTGAGTCATAGAATAAATAAATCGCCTGTCGCCCCGTTCTCTCATGGACGCGAGATCAAAGGGGTAGTATGCTATAGTATCAATACTGAATTTGTATGTTTCGATTTATCAAATAATCATCTATTTGATAGATCGAAAATGCAAACAGCGCTTGTTTTGAATTTGTTATCGGCCGTAAAAAGGTCCTAACAAGCATAACAGGCATGGTGTCATAGTTAAGGCACACTAACATAAAATCGTTCGATCCAAACAGCTATCAGCTACTACACACTAAATCAGGAGAAATTATTTACTTAAGTAACGGCTAAATAGCAACCACAAGATGTTTGGTCAAATATCTTAAATAAACGGGTGGACACTCTAAAAAACACATTTGAATTTTATCGATAAAAAAACATGGCTCCATTTAGTATCAGAGATGATCGAACATCAGATGGATCGTTCGAGACCATCTGAGAGTTAAAACATTACGTGTGATGATTTATCGTGACTGGTGATGAACTCGTTTTTGAGAAACACTATTAGCTGCATATAGATATGCCATATAGAAACTGTATGTTTGATTCAAATTAGTGGAAAATTGGATGACTTTACATAGCCTTCAGCAGAATATTTCTCTTCATAAGAGCAACAGCGGACAGTCGCGGATACTTTGTTTAGCTTGTTATTAATCAGTCAGTAGAAAATTATCGAAATAGCAGAATTTAGCTAACGAACTATACGCAGCTTCGTTACCCCTAACAGGTATCATTTATAAATGGGCTGGCAACATGTCGAATAATTACACAAAAACAAGGCACTTGTTACGTTTGTAAGACGCCTTCCTCTCCAATGCCACTACCAGTTAAACCGCGACTGTAATCTAGTTTACAGGTTACAATTGTTGTCAGCGCCATCGTGCCTAAATCACAAATCGTAAAATACGTTCACATACGCACTATTTCAAAAATTTATAAATACATTCACGCACAAATCTATACTGATTCGGTTCACAGACACGAGGCTCATCTTATATATATATATATATATATATAGATTAAATCCAATATGACATTGCTGTTACATTATCCTGGTAGCAAATCGCCGTGAACGCCTCTCATCGTGGGATCGTTATCGCATTGCAGTAGTTGACTCTTCTGCTGTGGTTCAATTAGTACAGCACGAACGGTCGCACAGCTGAACGACATAATAGCAAAATTAACTACTGCGCAACGCCTCGGGTGATTCCGACTGCCTCGAAACCCTGGGCAAAAACCGAATGCCGATTGCGCGGAGCGTCGGATTTGCCTCGAAACCGCTTAACGAACACAAGGCGTCGCTATCTGTGTACGAATGATACCCCCCCCCCCTCCGCCGTCGCGTAACGGTCGTCTGCGGTTGGTGTACGATACTGACCGATTTCGATTGACGAACCCACTGACTACCGCCGGACTGAGGGGAGGCGGTGGCTTCTTGATCGGCATACGCCACTGTCACTTTTGTTGACATTACGTGCGAGTAACTCAATAACTCAAATCGACTGATTGGCGGAAACTGTTGGTATCTACGCAGTTGAGGCAAAGCAGTTTCGACTACTGCTGCGCCGTTCAATGTTGACTCTCCTCATTGAACTGGAGATAGTATCGAATTTGACAGGGATTTAAAATTTCCCCGTATAGGGAAGAGTTGAGACCCCTGCCTCGTTGGCATCACAACCATCACCATCGCTCAGGGCGGCCGGAGCCAAGAGCACTTAGCAGCAGCGATCGTGAGAATTGGTAGAAAAAGATAAACCAGACTGTTTGGTAATGATGCACACGTGGAACTTTCTCGATTAAGGAGATGAACTATCCAAGGAGAAACGGGAGAGAAAAGGATAGAGGGATCGGACACAGTAAATGGGATCGGCTCACCACATTACCGGAATTGCGCTGGTGGACTAGCAAAAATAACAATACTCAAAGGGAAATGGTACTTCATGATTCTTATAATAAAGCTCAATCAAATAAGAGGATATATTGTAGCGGCTTTTATCGCCTATGTCATTCAGCGTCCGTGGGCGATTCAACTCAATTACAATAACGGTATTTGTCGGTAATCGACGATTGGTCTTTAAGAATTCATTTTTCAAGAGGTCTAGTAATAATTATGTGAAAATACCGACTAAAATGCTCGCGCTTTGCCGCAGCGACAATAAAGAATATTTATCAGTGTGATCGCCTTCGAGGACTTGTCATCATTACCGCTGAAGGATATGTATTAGAATTACGTTGTCTAATTTAAGATTTAGAAGCCGAAATGAGTAACTTTAACCAAAACTGTAGACTTATCTATGGTAGGTTATGTATAGTTTCATCAAGCTATCATAGGCAATAAATATGAACTGGGTGCACTCTTAACAAAAAGATGAGGCCAATCTACTGAAATTATTATCGCCTGGGTTTTAGCTACCTCCGTCCCAGGCTCAAGTTCTTAAATTAGCACGTAACGCAGCTACTGCTCCGCTAAGTTTTTCTTCCTTATCAGGCAGTTCAATTTTCCAGATGTACCCTTGTACAATCGATTCCTTATTCTTAAGCGGCAACATGGGAAAACTCTGTGTTAGCCTCGTAAATGGCATTGGAAGATGTGGGTATGAACGGCAATAATGACAGCGTAAGTCGTGTACAGCTCCTAACAGAGTGTTATCTCAAACGCTCGTCTCTTTTAGCTCGACTCCTTTGATAGCTCGCTATCAATCGCGATTATAATTAGAAGATTTTCTAAGACGGCAGGAAATCGTCGTATCTTAATCGTATGTTTTAGCTATTTGATAAACAGCTCTTTGGCCAGCTCAAAAGACTGTCGTAGTTTACAGATATTGCATTCGACCGAACAGCTTCCCAATCGCAAGCAGCTACAGGTCGCACACATTTGTCGCTTTGGCCGTCACATGCGTCTCGGCCGGTTCGATTGAGACATTGTTTACTTCACTTGATTGCATGCATGTACGAACATCAATATTGAGAGACTGTCTTCAAAATGGATACAGACTATAACAATGGAGACGTTCCGGATTTCAATCAGTTGTAACACAATTGGCTGCATCCTTTACTATGGTTAGATTTGGCTGTAAAGAATGCTATAAAGTCAGTTGAATCACGTTTTCGAACATTTAGTACAGAGTTCTTCCATGTTTCGGGTCTTACGCTTGGCATTTAAGCGGATAGGTATCACTTCAGACGGTCGGCTGTTGCCGAAGCTGCATGTCCCTTATTTTAGTAGGCAGTCACGCTTACAAAGTACTTAGAAAACCACTGTCAGGGATTAGTTTGACGACGCCAATAGCCTTCGATTACTTAGTAAGGACTTGAATGCTTTCTTCCAACCAACATGAGCAACATATGTGAGCATCACAATTGGCCTCATCAGGAGAATGACGTATGCTATATTTAGATCTAGTAACGATGACCGAAAATCGCAGGACAGATATCTCTGCGATGGCAGAGAAGTTCGGGGTTAGTTTTCGATACTTACGGCCAGAACTGGTAGTGAGAGCGATTTCCGTACTATCAGATATCCCATTCAATAACGATGGGTTCTGCGAAAAGTCCGGCACCTCCAAATCGTCCACTGTATCGGTTTCCCTTCTTTTTTCAAGGCTCGTAATGATCGATTTGGCACCACTGTTGCCACCATTACTATCGCCGTCGCCATCCAATAAGGTAGGCGGGCTTTTTTCCGCCGAGGGCATATCGGTCACATTGAATGATACGGTTAGAAGACTTTGACTTCCTAAGCTGTTCGAGAACTTTGGGTTCGCGCTATCGGCTGCCGTCGCTGCCGCATGTGAACTTGGTCCGAAAGTTCTTTGGTTGTCCTCTGTAGTTCGGTCCAACCTGCCTGGAACGGTTCCGGAAGATAGAAGCCCCACGGATTGATTAGTATCTTCAGATGATATAAGGGCTGACTCTTCTGCTGCAATTGCCTGCTTCGAACTGCTGCTAAAAGTGAGGTTATTGTTGTTACCATTGTTCTTTCTGTCGTTTTTGTCGACCTGAGAATCTGCCACTAAGACGGCAGTATCAGTTATCTTAAGTTCGTAACTGCTTTCACTATTGCTGCTAGTGCTGTTATTAGCTGCATGACTACTGCCACCTGGCAATGGAATATTTTTTCCTTCCGTTGATACAACAGCCCCAAGAGCCATAAGTAGAGTTGAGAGGACGACAATGGTTAACCGGCATGTCCTACTCCCAGGGGGCCTCATCTTTCTTGCGCCAGTGCGGTTTGCTGGCCGCCACTCCTCACCGTTAGCGTCGCCCTCACGCCGACTCAGTTTTGTTTTTCCTTTCAACGATTTTTAGCAGGTTACTAACAAACCTTGAGATTTTTCACAGGTGCATCTTGGCCTCCGGTTTGCGTCGATGCTCTTTTGCTGACTGGTTATGGATACTAAAAAAGCCTTGTCGAAATTCAGCTGGCCAGAGCTTCGCAACACACAATGCCGCGGCTGGCCCAATGATCCGCAATTATAATAACCTGCGGGTCGAACCTGCTTTTCTCTGTTGATGACTTGCACTCACAATAGTCATAAACTGTAGACGTCACGTTCTCAATGAGAACTGAACTGAGAAATACTCCACTCTATGGCTGCGGTTGTGGTCTTCTCGTTTCGCTTTGATCCTTCTCCGTTTTGCTATTATTATATGGGCACATCAATTCATTTGGGTAAAACTGAGCCCGAGCTACGGTTCGCAAGCCGATATATAACATTACAAGAGCACTTTAGTATTCGCCAAGCGACGGCGGTGCTGGTAACGGCGCTCGTCATGAAGATGTCACCCAAACGTAGGAACTAATCGAGGGTTCCCGGGTGAGGGAGTATTCCGATAGCAGACAGTAGCAATCCTATCAGCCAGTGACGAGATGCAAAGAAAATTGCAGTAGCCAACGAAGCCAACGCAGTGGTTTGCGGCCTGACGCGAAATCGAACACGAGTGAAGACAACGGACGTAGCTTACCGACAAATGCCGACTTTGGGTCGGCGTCCAACGTGTAACGCTTTGAGCGCAATAGCTGGTGGCAGAAACGACGATGCCGTGTTAGTTAGCTGTACTAATCGATCGTACGGCTTCTTCTCAAGTGTTTCGAGCAACTGAAGAAAGAAGAAATGCCAGCGAGTGCTGGCTATACAACGGAAACAATGTATAGTGATGTGCGCACAGCACGGGGCCCATTATTATAATTTATTTTTAAAGGATCAACCGTATTCCAGCTCACGTACCATAGGCGTCGTTGTCGTTATTTTAAATCTAATTTATAGGAATATTTTGAAATATGCTCGGCAATGCTGAGTCAAATTTGGGTACTCGAAAATGAATCGGGAAAACGCTATAAGCTCGTTAAGTCTTATGTGACCTGTAATTACATATTATAGAACATAGGCCGTGTACGCAATACATACATACTCCAGAGTATACAAAATTGCCTCAGTAAATATAGGGTTATGGAAAATTGTGTTTTTAGTGTCATGCTATATTCCACCTCGCATAACCATGGCTTTGGACATTGTGCGGTCCAAAGTGGCCTGAAGGGAAACTACAATGAACGCCGAATTAAATGTTTACATTGGAGCATCATGCGTCTGCCATTATAACGTTGCGACCAGCATGCACGCATATATATTCCATGATTTTTACTTCAATATATAACACAGAAGACGATAGCAGTATGGGCCGTATTGCATATAGGTGGATGTATAAATTTTATGCACATGTAATGAAAAATAGGGCAACTTTAATAGGTACTTTGCCACTAGGAACTGGAGTGAACCTCGCACTTCTTTTTTGCCCGGCCATGTCTCTAACCCATTAGCACTACCGCAGATCTTTTTTACTTATCGAAATGTAATCAGGTGTTGTCTGTCTACGAAAAAAAATTATCACTAAGTTCGGCGTGGCTTCAGGAAGTTGTTGCCTGTGTATTTCATCTGACGTATCTTTTGACCTAAACGTTTCGAACTAGATATTTTCAATCATCGGTTTAGCTAATGGTTTGATACTGCAAAATTGTATTGCTGCCTTTATCATTTCAGATATGATTTTTTACTAGACTGATCCTATATTCAATGAGTTTATTAAATGCAATTTTTTAACATCCCTAATAAACTTCTTCAAGATAGGGGATCAGTTCGAGAATAAATCGATAAGTAGCCTCTCCTAAGTGGTGGCGGGGAAAAACAAACAGCGAAGTATTTCAGTGGCGCAATATAATTACATGAGACTAAGCCTATCGAAAACACTTGACTCACAGAAGTGCAAATGCATTACATATGATAAAACGTCCAAGCTTAATATATAGCAACAGCTATTTCCGAAAAACCAAGATAGCCCACGAAGCCCTCAAAAGCTAGTTGATCCAGGACGAGCAAGCTGTTACATTAATTGTAACAGAAATAGAAAAACTAACAGTCTAGAATCTTTGTATTGGCTACATATTGCTGTATTGGAATATCATCGTACGGCACGCTCCTTCGATAAGTTATATCTCGATATGGGAACGGAACAAAAACGATCAAGAGAAAATGAAAGGCGCAAGGAGTACGGGACGATTTCAGTGCTCCTGGAATGGAAAACAGGAAAGTTTTTCTGCGTGTTTTTATTGTTACATTGATCCAGTCCAGGAAAGCGATATTATCCAAATGTCCTTTCGGGAACTGCTTGCACAACTCGATCTTTTTTTTCCCTGTGGATATAAATCATACACGAAGCTGTACAGTTCAGTGTCGGTTTCACGAAATGTTCCATGTCGTAAATTGCTTTCGGCATTATTTCGTAGACTCTGTTATTCATACAGCGCCATGGGCAAAAATCGAGAGGAATGAAATCGCAGGAGCTTAGCTACCATTCGATACTTTCGCTATGCATTAGGATCAGTTGGCCTGAAAATATAGTGTTAAACAGACTGACGATTTTCCTTGCCGTGTGGTGAGTTGTTTCCTATGTCCTCATCTCGGGCTACAACATGTCGTATATAAAGCTCGCCATCGAATTAGCGCTGCCTTTCCATCATCATTTTCGAAAAAAAAAGACCCAACGATACCTTTGTACAATAAGCGGTACTAAACAGTGACCTTTTTGTAACTGAAGTAGATGCTCAGCTTTCCATCTTGAGCTCCCTGAATCTCAGATGCGATGATTCGATTTATTTGCATCACCATCAGGTTAAAAATGAACTTTACTGAACTGAAGAAAATATCAATTAAAGAAGCTAATCAAGCAATCAAAGAAGTCGCTAGTACGCTTCACTATGTGACCAGAAAACAAACGACGTTTAAGATGGTCCTAAATCTTTGATGGTCTAGCCAGATGAATATGGCGATCGTAGAGAGGTCCTTGATGCCCTAGCTGAGCACGACGTTGCATTGAGATCATTAAGTCTCGATGCAATGTTGCAATCTGGAAGTTTGATTCGTGGCTTGCGAGCTGGTTTTTTCAATGTCGTAACGTTTCCCACGCCATCGAAAAGTTTCGCCCGCACTCTGCGTGACATTTGCGAAGTGTTGCCGCAATTGATTACCCATTTCGATAGCAGGTATTTATGACAAAATAAGTCTGTTCCATGCTTGAGCGTTCCATCATGAAGAATTCTACGCAGTCTCGCCAGTCTGCTAGCCCTTACTTCTTTGCAAACGCAGGGGGAAAAGGATAAAATCGGCTACTCGTTAGGCACCATACATTCGATTGTCGCCAAAATATGGCTATTGCAGCAAGCTTTGGCGGTGCATTGGCGCGTTTTGATTTCGGGACCTTTGGGACTCCTTTTTAGAGTGCGCCTTACGCCATTGTGCCGTAAACGTTTTATGCCGATTTTTATGTAATATTATTCTTATAGGCTTTAGCTTTGCCATATCGACGTCTGAGTGTACAATGTTTTCGTTAGCAAATATATTTGGAGACGCAATTTCGAATATTTGATGCCAATCATGTGGGGGAGTTCTCCTAAATTCTTCAAATACTGGCCGTGTCAACGGCACATAATGGCTCGATCTTGGTCTTAATGCTAGCTGTTTTCGTGAATTAAGTATGCTGTCCTAACTTAGATCGAGGACGAAGGACATCGCATTATGCTGATCTCATTATATGAGCGTTCTATACAAAAGAGAACCAGAACAAACTAAGACGGTGGCAGACCCGAAGCGTCCTGTGAGCAGAATGTTCAACAAATCTTTATTATAAGTTAAGGGGAAGTTAGCCAAAGTTTGTAATTTGTGTTACTTGCTAACTTAACTGAGTGAAGTTAAAAGTGCACAGTTTCAAATATATCGCTACTAATGTGAGCTTGGTAGAAATAGTTTATTGGGGGTTAGGTGAAAATTGTTCATACGTAAATTGCACTAGTTAGTTACGCCAGTCGAAATTATATGTTGGTTGACGGTAATAGAAATCGGACCGCTTACGGAGCTTTTCAACGAAATATACTCTGTTTGTGTAACATAACTTATTCAGTAAGTTAACACACATGCTATGAATGAAATAAAAATAAAGATACAATAAAATACAGTGAACACTTTGTCTTACAAAACATCACCACGTTGCATCCTCATAAACGACATTATTATCAGCAGGGTGACGATTTGGGACGGGACTTCGATTCTATCATACGTACAAGTGTATTCATATATAAACAAAGATCTGGCCTGCATTTTCTAATATGTTCCCACACAAATGGCTATGTTTGTTATTTAATCACGACGCGAAATATATAATATTCAGTGTTGCAATGGCGACTGATCGGTATGCTGTCTACCATAAAATGAGATAGAAGATCATTTAACAACAGGTTCATTCACCAACGTGTACTTACTAGGCACCAATAAATCCTTGAAAAGATAAGCGAAAGTCGAGCAGTGAAGCATCGTTCTCCTACAATAGCACCTGTACACATCCAATCAGCAGAAGGCAAGCCAGAGACATTCCCATTGCCTATAGAACGCTACATCAAAATGAGGAACTCCGTTTACAGGCAGTAACAGCAAGATTGAAAAACCGTGGCACACCGTCGTTTAGTGGCCTATTTTTAAATAGAAACCTCAACTCAAGGGAACGTAGCATTTGCACCCACGAAATTGAGGTCGTTGTTGGACGAGATCCTTAAGCCGAATAGGCTTAAGAAGAAATACTAGGCTCAAACGGCCTTCACCGTTTGAAAAAATAGGTTCACAAGTGCGATACCCATATAGCTGACTTCTTATCCAAGTTTTTTAAAGGTAACGTTTTTCTATCCAATTGTAAGTTCACTTTCGTTACCCTTTGTAATATGTATGATAACCTGCAATGGAAATGTAACCAATAGTTGTATCTCGTACTCCAAACGCAGTTGTAATAACTAGATCAATTATTAACTTAGCCTTAGAACTTTTAGCCTAATTAATGCTTTGTTGTTAATACAGTATGGCAAACCACAAATGAAGTATTGCATAAAAAACATAAAAAATATATGAAAATTATATGTCGAAATATCTCTAAGTGCAACAGCATGCTGATCAAACTGGGCGAAGCACGAGATTTTTCTCTGTTTTCACTGAAATGAGCAGAAATTAATAGTTGACTAATAGTAATTTGTTTTGGCTTAGTCTTTAGCAAAGCCCCGACTTCAAAGTAAAAAAAAATTTCGGGGCTGTATCATGAACATGAATGCACCGAACGTATACTAATTTTGCTTAGAAGAACAGTTATAGCTTGTTCATACTATTCTTTCTAATTGGTGAGCAGAAAATTTAAACACCCATAGCGTTAGATAACGCAGGGAATTTTTTTTTGAAAAACAATGGTGCCGAGTAGTCGGCGGTCCAAGAGGGCAAACACCGAAATGACTGCAGCTGCCTGCGATAGTGCCTCTCCATTTTTGTCGGTGTTATTGAAATTAAAGCTGTGTATTTTATTTAAATCGGTAGACGAATACTTAAGGTGGATAGAATTTACGTAAGTTTAATCAATCGTCTCCTAAAAAAGAAGTCTAACAGAATTCATTCTCAGAAATGACAGGGCGCCATACAATATTCTTATGGTTACTACATCGCAAGACTTTCAGGTTTTCGGATTTAGGCGGACTTCGGATCGCTACTGATAGTTCGATTGAAATAAATTTATCAGCAGTCCACATTGGCTAGATGGTGGCTCAGCTAAACTGCGACCCGAATACTTGTACAGATAGACTCTAGAAATTTAGTGGATATTAGATAAAATGCTTATTATATAATCTACCAATTATATCTCAAAGGCATGTTAGCGGACGTTTGAGTTGCTTCTTAAAAAAATTATATATGGTTTCAACATACAATGCAATAGATTTAACTATCTCTAAAAGACAAGCAAAAATAGCGTTCTAACCTACAATATCCCTGTTTCCAGTTTTATGTCATGTATGGCTACCAATTATTCCATCACATATCTGGCTCCAGGCATGGAACGAAGTGTTCGGGTTCCACCCTAGACCACGCCGTGTCCCTAAGATGATCACATATGTACGTTATCCAGTGAGCTATTAGGGGGCGGAACTAAACTGCCCAAAAAAAATTTTCTTTACCAACACAGAGCTTATGGAATACTGCAGACCTCTATTGAGGTCGTTTATATTTCCCAACCTTTAGAGATCACTATTATGTAAAGACATTTTAGAAATGGAAGCGGAAAATACGAGGTAACAGTTCGTTGAAAACAAATGCTTTTTCGTTCTAATTACAAAAACAAAATGATGACAGACAAGCACAGCTTCACCCCTATGTGAGCCAAACATACCTTTTCATTATCCTTGAAAATACCGATTGGCAATGGAAACAAATACGCTACGTTTTTCCAAGATATTTTACGTATACGGTTGTGAAAATACAAAGATGTTTGCTACTAAAATGAAACGTTGTGTGTTACGTGACGGGCGTTCGTAGGAACCAGCAGTCGTATGAATCAACAGTAATTGATTTAATTTACGTAATATGCATTACGTATATATTATCCTCCATTCGTTATATTATCAGATACATATGTTTGTTTTATGGCACTAATCTGAGCGTAACAACGTTTTTATGCAACCTTGGTTTCATTACAGGCCCTTATGGATTATTACAACAGGCTGAGACAACGAGTTCAAGGACGCAATCGGAAGCCATTTATAAATACAGTTTTTGTGCATATTGCTCGTTTGTCGGATGAGTTATGGCTAGAAACTGATTAAAATTTACGCTGCAGAAATACGTCGGAAGCCATGACCCTGTATATTGTGATATTAAGTGTTGGAGTACTATCAGCTTTCTTGGCTTCTTTTCAAGTGCCGGTTCCGCGAAGGGTGATAGGTGATTGTGACAATGGAGTTCGATGCGCCCGTTAGAGCGGACTCGAAACAACCAAGCACTTAACCGGATATTGAACAGCTTAAAATTTTCAAGACAGTGATCGTTACTCTTTTCAATCGAAGCCCCGGGGCCACCTCTGTTTTGTTATGACCCGTGTGTAATTGTCTCATTTTTGGCTCTGCTCTATCTCTGGCATCGCCTTCATTAGCAACACAAGCATGAAAGCATTGAAAATGGGAAGACTTTCTCTATAAGATATGATGAATGCTCTAAAGGTTAGCATACGTTTCGGCCTGTTTATGTGCAACACTTTCTTTTTATCTGCATACGAGCCGAAAGAGAAGCTTTCGCACTTCACTGAAGATACGACTATAAGACTTCAAAATTACTGTGCTGTGCTTTTTCTGAATAAACATTTTGTTTAACGACGTAGATGGACGGATCATTATTTTGAGGGGTATCTGATTGTCTATCGATATAGAAAACGAAACCGCAAATATTTTGTACAATATGATGTACCAATGTAGGACCTTTGGTTGTTTATTTTGACCTCTCCTGGTGGACACTCATTGTAAGGCTACTTTCAACAAACCATAAGACCCAAACGAAGCCGCAAATAAATGCTTTTTACCTACCATCTGACCTGCCTGTCGAGCGCCTACATTGGTTCTGTAAATGCGCCACTCATAGTACATAAAATGACATTTTTTTTACACGGTGTACAGTTAGTTGATATAATAATGTTATTGCAGCAATTAATACAGGGTAGTTAATTTTACTGGTTTTAGATGGCTTTTTTTATCGAGCTGACCTGCTACTAGATTATCTGTTCCGTAGTAGAAATTCTATTCGTTTTCGTTTTCGTTTAATTGCTATTATATTGTACGGAGGTCGACCTCGTTGACAGCTTATCCAGATGCCTACGAAGTCGCGACTATCTACATATTCTGGCGTCAAACTGAAACCGGCAGCTATGTGTAAACACAGTTCTCTAAATAAATGAACATTAAAGAATAAACAGTCTTCTTTGGATATATATCTTCTAATATCGGCATTAAAACGATAGTCATTATTTACAGATTTATCAACATTTATTATTGGACTACCGTTCAAAAAGACTTCTTCTCTAACTCGAAACATGTTTTATGTGAGCACTATATAGTCCCCAGGCAAATGATTCAATAGGGATGCTTTACTGACAACACTGCTTGCTACGCAACAATTTAAATAGTGCTACATACATCCAGTCACCTGGCAACAGTATTATTTATTAATACCGCAACGCTTACGTAATAAACAAGGTCTGCTGCCATATTGGGCTTCAGTCAGCAGGATAATTCTATTTAAGTACGTTTACTCAAACCAAGTTCGAATAGCCCGCCAAATCAATAGAGATATGAGATGCCAGCTTAAGTCATATCTTTGCTTCGGCTTAGATGATATGAAATAGTCTAGTTTGCAGTCGAGCTTAAGCTCTAATAACAAATAAGGCTCACTGCTAACAAACGGCCTCGTTAACGCCGACAAAGACGGTCGTAATTAATCGTGTTCATTGCTACGGCAGCGAAAAACATAAATGATTCTCCCTCCGTATGCCTTTCCATATGTCACTGCTTCACGTGCGGGATCGTTTACAGGGTGAACAAGCTCAACTACTGTGCGTCGCGCTGTGCTACCCGGTCAACAGCAAAAGTAGTTAAAGTAGTAGACTATAGCAGTAGACAACAATATATCTCTGCACGGCGGCCGTTTCGGTGCGACTCGGCCGTTCTTTCTGTCGCGAGGGTGCCCTTCATCCGCGGCCAAGGCCTTGGCTTAGTCGGTGATATAAACCCTGCAGCTTAGCAGATGGCAATGTCACATCCTCAACGTATCATTTTCGTGCTTCGAACAAATTTCACAAAATTACCCGCGCCTCCCCTTCTAGACAGACCACCGTTTAGCCAGCGCGCAACACTTGTCGCCAACGCCGTCTTGGTCGGCTCGTTTTAGATCGTCGGCGCACCGTCCAACGGCTCGATTCGTCCGTATCTCGATGGCAATGAAGACTCTCATAGTTGCTATTATTGCGGCCGTCGCCGGGCGTGCGTTCGCACAGTATACACACAATAGTTATCATCACATAGGAAGCCCCGCATTGAGTTACAGCAGGAGCAATGGTGCGTATGGTGCGCCGGTTGCTAACACTGGCCGGATTACAGCGTCGGCTTTGCCCTTAACGACTGTCGGAACAGTGGCAGCTGCTCCTGTTGTCGCTGGAGTCGCTCCTGTTCACAGTGGAATTGCCTCCTCAGGCTTTTTTGCCCCTAAACCTGCTCCTAAGGTTCATACGATCCACACCCACAGCGGGCGCCAACACATACGTATCGAGGAGTTTCGCGCTCCTGCTCAGGTGATCCGTGTGCACGAAGCTCCGCAAGCGGCTCCGCAGGTAGTGCACGTGCATGCCCCACCATCCCCTCAATCAGTTGTGCGCGTCATCTCGCGTGCGTCCGGTCCCGCCCATATCGAACGGGTAGTCCATCCGGCTCCTGGCGTGCAAGTAGTTGACGTCCATCGCCCACCGCCACCTGCTGCACGTATCGTGCAGATCGTGCGCGGTCCCGCTCCTCTTCCACAGATCCTTTTCTACCACGAGCCTCAGGTCCACGCCGAGCTTCACGTCGAATCGCCACACGCGCCTGCTCCCGCCGTAGCCACTCCTACCCACGCTGTCGTTCCGCCCCCAGCTGTCGTCCGCACTGTTGCTGCTTTTCCAGCCGTTTCTTCTTCGGATCCAATCGTTCGAGCGGTGGTCGCCGCCCCTGGTCCGATTGTACAAACACCTGTTGCTGCACCTGCACCTGCACCTGCACCTGTTGTCCTTGTCGGGGTCGGTTACACGATGTACGGTATGGGTTATGGACGTGTATACCCTGAACATTTCAAAAGTAAGGCGGCTAAGGCCTCTAGAGCATCAAGGGCATCTTCATAGAATAATGCAAGATGAGTGCATTAGCAGTACGAAGATCCACATTGAGCTAACTGAGACTGGTGTTGGGACGCCACAAACGACAGCTGCCGCAGTCTGGCCCAAGAATGACGACCCGTGATTCCTTCCGCTGACGCCATGCATCTAAAAAAGATTCGTTGCTAAAGATGACGCAAACACTTACAGAGGCATTCGGATATTATAACTAATAATAAAAGTACTATTTATTTTGATATGGATATTTCGTTATTTTCATTTAGATCGTGGGCTGGCAACGGGATTATCGAAAGTGCACACCTGGCAATAGGAAACCATTTTCCTGGCAACCTGCTTCTGGTGCCAGCAAGCAGCTCGTACGCATTTACTTAGGTCGAACAGATACACAGAGACATATAGGTAAAAGGGCCATAAATCGATCCGCGCATTTACAACTGTTTACAGTACAGTCACCAATAGATTCGCGTCCTAATTTCATTTGGACATTGCACACCTATCCAAATAGTGCCTCAGCATTTGCTGTTCTGTTTAGTTTTGGATAATGATTGTCAATCGTATATCAGCTCTTCGCAAATGCTGCGTCACGTATAACGTTGGGCATTTTGCAGCGCATTCATATCGGAAGACCATACGACAGTGATAAATTTGGATCTGGTCTGTCCTATAACTAGCAATGGCCGTACGTCAGCCATCGATAAGCGAGCCCTGTGTAGATTCAGTAGTAGATTCCAGCATAACTGAGGCGTCACGTAGAATGAAAAGAGGAGGTAGGCACTAGTGCTGTTTATCACCTACATCTACCGGCAAATAAACATAAATACACACAGACATACGTATACACAAGCGAAAATGCCCGTCGAGTAGAATGAAGACTATTGTGTAAAACGTGTTACGTCGCGGCGACGGTTCATACAGCTCATTACGTTCTCATTGTCTGTAGGTAGAAAGCAGATCGTGAACGAATCACTGTTTCAGATAGTGCAACGCTAATTAATTTACATATTGCTGGTCTAACTGATTAAAAAAGGCCTGTCAAAGTGACACCATTTCATAGGCGATACTTCTTGAACAGTTGGGGTTATATCAGGTTTTTTTTTCTCGATGAGTTCCATTGCATTCATTTATTATATTTCTCCACGTGTTCTTATGAATGGAATTATGATCTGAGTAAGTTGGGTAAATGACTGAAGGTCGATGTGCCAGCTAGGCAATATAAATGCAACGCCAATCTTCGGTAAACGAAATCGATGCCTCGAACACAGTGAAGTTATCGCACGCATTTTACATACACTGTTTAATAAATAAAACAAAGAAACTTTAATAAATGTATTGTATACATATGGATACGTACTCGGACTTTTTTTTTTTAGATTTGTTGCTATTAGTAGATTAAACGTATCGCGTGAATAATCTATGTGGACATATGTGCACCGTTAGGCCTTTATAAGAGGTAAGTGTGATTTATCACAATTCTGGTGCCGGTCGCGGCCTTAATGACTCTTTGTTACTTAATGTTATGTTAAGCCGGTGCAATAAGCATGTCGTGACTTACGAGAAAGAGCAGCAGGCCTGCTAACAGTGGCCTCCTAGTGGTTTGTACAAGTACGCTTGTTCATGTTAAAGATTGTCAGTTCGCTACCTTCATGACTGAAGTTACTAGAAAGATGGAAAAAAACACACACGAATATAAGCGGATTAGTTTGTGTTAGAATCCATAATGACCCGATATTATCATTAGGTTTATTTACGTTAAGCTCTTTGGTTGTCGTATAAAGCGAACTGATGCTGGGCATCATAAGACAGTATCAGAGAAATTCAACAACTCGACCCAACGAGTTTAAAAAAAAAAGTCAATAAGCTTTCGTTTGCCATAAATGAAACGTGTAAATGTTGCGTGGTAAATACACTGCAAGCAGGTGTATTATATATATATTTCCGCTGATAATAGTTGGTAGGATTATTATAAGTGGCTAAAAATGAGTCACCTTGAGCTGAATATTCAGTACTCAGGAGAAATTGTTTGCGCATACCTTCCGGCCCATTCTGTCGGTAACCTACTTAAGCATATACGACAGAAAAGCAGCGAAAAGTACTGCTAGTCGTATATATATATATATATATATATGAACTTGTGTTTTAAAGTTGTAATTGTAAACAAGATTGTCTTTGTTAGCCGAACGCTTAGCATTGCATATTTCTAAATTATTCGCATCTCAGGTATGCGTTATACCTTCACTGAATTTCAAATGGTGTACATGGTAGGCCCTTGCTTTAAAAAGAAGGGCCTTGTTCTTAGCCCTCTTATTCTAGCTTCGCACCAAATTATGATACGGGTCATATAAATATTTCGAATATCATATCCTTTCCGTACCGCTTCCGTGACAAAAACGGTCTAGATTCGTCGGGTTTCATTTCATATAGGCTAACAAAGCTTTATCCGAAAATCGAGCCGTGTGCTTTTTAATCATAATAATGTTACTATTCCAATCATGATATAGGCAGTAATCTATCAATGGGTATCAAGGCTAAGAGGAAAACTTTCCGTATGCTATTGAGCAACTAATAAGAAAGGATTCCGATGTATTGACCAGAACGTACAGCTTCGTTTGTCAAACACCGGCAGCAACATAAAGCGTCCTTTTTTTCAAAAAATCCAACTCTATATCCTTCTGAATGGTAACGTGCTTTTACAGCTTGTACTCAAGGCAAATTTTAGGGAATCCTTCGATAACTTTTCCAGTCGTTATGATCATCGCGCCTAGGTGTGAGAGAATAACATTAAGAGACACTTTTGCTCGTCAGTTGCCGTTTATAGCAGATATCTAAAAGGTTTAGGAATTACAGGTTGTTATCGTCTGTATCTCAAATGGTTTATGAGATAAAAACATAGTTATATAACTAATATTGGGATATCTTTTACTACCTGACTGGACAGTACCAGCATGTTCTTTAACGCTATTCATTTATGCCATGATATAGTTAGTAATCAGGAGTGGACAACAGAAAACACTGCTTTGAGCGGGAGGTACGCCAAAGTGACAGCTTTGTCATTAATATGTAACATGACATAAGACAGCTCACCGCTTGGCTGCTAACCGCAAAATCGTCAAGAGTCTCTATCTGTTTTTTATCTTTTCTGTTTTTATCTGTTTTGTTTATCAATGCCAATTTGTTTTTAAATTTTGGTTGCTGCCAACAAAGTGCATTAGCCTTTTATAGGTGACAAAACACTTTCGTGACCCTTTAGTAATTCCAGTAGAGAAAAGCAATTGCTATGTGGCCTCAGTCTTTAAAAAATTGTGTTAGTTTCGGCCGATTCTTTCTCTGAGCGCTCTCTGAGCATTATGTATATCTACCTGTGTATATATTATTGATGTTAGTTGCTGTTCTTCATGTGTACCACTCTTCGCCCGGCAGGTTATCTATAAATCACCACTCGATATACGGCGAGGCCAGTGGAAAAAAGGTATGGACAATGTCAGCGGCAGCCATGGAAAAAAGCAGCAATAAAACGGGACTCTAGCGGATCGGCTCGAGATCCTTCGACAGATGACTATTATTTCTGCGGAAAATATCCACTCATCATTTTGTAGCCCACTGTAATATATTATCGGTGGTTGGCTAAGCCTCGGCGTCTTATTTGCTGACCCATTGTCTTCTCGTCTCGTGTCTGCACGAATTTGCATTTATGCGTGCAAACACATGCAGGACAAACCGATGAGGCTGAGAATACAAACGGTGTATATAAGAAGAGAAATTAAGCAGCTCGTCAGATTTCGTACCTAGACAGCGTTTCTTTAAAATGGCATAGCCCCGTAAGCTATCCTCGCTACTATAAAAGCGACGGCAACGTCTGGCAAAATGAAGTCACATTTCGTGCAAATTTACTTCACAGTAAATATACCAGATGCTATAATAAAATCTGGCCACAGAAATAGCGGCATTATCATTGTGAATGGCATAGCCGTAAGAAACGTCTCCGACTGCGGTGATTGGAGACCTAAAGTAGACAGAAAAAAACCCGCTTAGTGTACTCCGTAATTGACAATATTTTGGCAGCAATCTGCGTTTCTGAAGCAAAGCGTTTACCTTCGATCGGAAGATTAATTATAGTCAATATTTACTAGTCGACGCGCGTCCAAATGATTTGTTCCTGATCACTGCGTGCGATAACCTAGACGTCGTGTCTTTCTTGTTTTCGTATATCTAGACTATTAAGGAATCATTCACAAAAGGTTAGTATCTCTTATGAAGTATTCGAATCTGTATTTTGAAAAGTCTCGCACCTGCTAACATCGTAGTGAAATATTGTATGGGACTAAATTAAATGAACGTTCGTATTAATTCTGATCGGATGATATATTCATTGAAATATGACTAATGATATAGTTGTAAAATAAGGACAAGGACATGTAATGACGGGAAACAAGGAAGAGATGCATTGGTTGGTAACGCCGTAGGATCTGACAGTTTCGGGTCAAGTTATCAATAATAAATCCGATTACGTCCCTTGTATTTAGGGGCTTTGAGTCGAATGATGCGCAGCTTTGTATAGAAAGGCTAAAGCTGGATCTTCCGAAGTATTGTTCACAAGTATTGAAGATCGTTTCGAAGTATTGAGGTCGCATGTTGTTGCTTTTACGCTTGCTACTGCTATTAAGCATTGATACAGACAGCCCGTTTCTTGCGTGAAATGCAGTAATCCACGCTACCGTTAGAACTTAAACCATATTACGTGTTCCTATGCGTAGTAAGCAAATACGTCACTACCGCGTCGGCTTACAGGAGTAACAGTGTTACTAATCTCTGTGACCTACCATACAGTTACGTTCCTTTAGAGAGTTGAATAAAGGGAACGCAGGAAGTAGAATGGATTTAGCAACTATTCACCGGCTATGCGAAAACCTGCAAATCGTCTCCGCCGCTTGAGCGGGTATGTGCCTAACGTAAAAAAAACGGGAAGAAGTATAGACCGTTAACGTTAGCGCCATGGCTTAGTGAGAAAT